ACTGGGTTGGCATCTCCTAAGTGTGCCACCCAGCCCTGGACGTGGGCAGCCACTCCCAAAGTCAGCTGGTGCAGCAACATCCCAGAGGCGGCCTTTGTCCATCACGTTGGGAGTGGGGCAGGCAGCCCCGCCATAGTAGCAGAAAGGGGCCCCAAGGCACACGCCCCCCCAGCACCCCTCCTGTCCGCCCTCCCCTCCCATGCTGCATTCCCCCCCCCCCAAGGGCAAAAACACAGAGTGGCCTATGGCCAGCCCCCCCCCCGGCCACTCCCCAGCTTCCAGTGGCAGGTTGCGGGGCTCAGCCTCTGGCTTCGGGGGGGGGGATAGAGCTCCTCCTGAGGAGCCCGGCTGCCCAGCAGATTTGTCTTCAAACCCCCAACCCACCCCCTCCACCAAGACTGCCTTCCGTGGAAGAACAGGATTTGCACAGAAGGAGGGGGCGCGCAGAGATCCATCTCCCTGGCCCCCCATCAGGCGAGGCAAGGGCACCATCTAGTGGTCACTGTCAAAACCTGGTTTCTGGCCAAGAGTGGCCGAGGCAGCCCAGAAATCCCTCCACGTGGCTCTCTGGAGGCCACAGCTCTCCACGGCCGGCCCTTCTGCATTCAGCCGCAGCCTCACCCTGAGCAGAACAGGCAAGGGCCCCCGCCAGGCAAAGCCAAGTCCCAGTGGTCGTCTCCCCCACCCCGGTCACTGCCAAGAACTGGTGTTGGATCAGGAGGGGTTGCTGGTCAACCGGCGTCTCTGTTCATGACCCCACCTCACCCCTGGGACTTGCCTGAGCAGCTTTTGGCCGCTAGTCCATAAAAGGAGGGGGAGCCACAAGATCACAGGGTCGCCTCAGCCTAGAAGCGACTGGACAGCCCACAAGAGAAGCCAAACCCCCGCCCCCACCCCAAAGGAGCAGCCCAAAGCCCAAAGCCTAAATGACAACCGTCCTCCTCCTGCTAGCCTGACCTTCCTGGAGGCCAAGCGTTTGCAGTTTTTATTGTTCAACATTTCAATTGCAGCTGAGAATCTCTCTCTCTGTCTCTCTGTCTCTCTGTCTCTCTCTCTCTCACACACACACACACACACACACACACAACATACCTTCTGAGACAGTTGTGGCTCCCACAGCAGCCCAAGGGTGCCCTCTTTTCCCCTTTCCGAGGAATGGGCCATGTGCAGGAAAGCCTTCCCTGAAAGGCAGGCCAAAGGGAGGCCTCTGCAGGACAAGCAGGGCCAGGCAGGGCAGGGCAGGGCAGGGCAGGGCGTCCAGGTAAAACCGTCCCTCTCCAGTGAACTGCCGGGCAGAGGCCAGGGCAGCCCCTGCTGGCCAGGCAAGGATAGGAAACAGAGGGGGTGGGGAGGTCCTCCTGTTCCCCGGGGTGACCTGCAGCACCCTGAGCTGTCGGCCCGACGGCTCTCTTTGTTGCTCCCCGCTGCCGGGCAACCCTCTTGCCCGCCTCTCCTCCACGTGCCACTCCAAGGGCTGCAAAATGGAAAGTGGCCAGCGGGCATCGGCCACTGCAAGCACGGGAGGGTGGGACGCCCCCACCGGGCAGACCAGCCCAGACCAGCCCTCCCTGGGGTGCCAACAGGCGAGAATGGGAGGCATCCCCCACCCCAGCCCCGCCTGCAGAGTCCCCACCCTCACCCCACTGACCTTGGCGACGAACTGCTTGTCCTTCTGGTCCAGGTTGGCCGTGGGGGCCACGTAGTCCCTCCAGATGCGCAGCTTGCGTTCTTTGGCATACCTGTCAGGCGGCCGGCCGGGCGGCCGGGAGAGGGAGGCAGGGGAGGTGAGCGGCTGCCTGCCAGGCTCTCATCCCCCATCGAGGGGGGGGGCTCCCCAACACGGCCAGCCCTGGGGCCTCATTCGAGGGCTTTCCAGCGTTGGTGCCTAGGAAGCTCCCGGCCCAGGGGCACCCAGACAAGGATACCCCTCTGACTTTAGAGGCAACACTGGTCGGAGGGTCCCGCACGGAGGAACACTCCCACCTGGGTTGGCCAAGTCTGCAGCACAGACAGAAGCCCTTCTGAACATTCCACCCCCCCGTTAAAAAAATAAACATCATGAACAGCTCCCCATTAAGCAAATCAAGCAGGCGGCCAGGCGGCCCAAGCCAGTACTGGGGGCCCTAGAGGACACCCCCACCCACAGGGCCTGGCCAAGGGAAGGGAAGGGATGGGCGCGGGGGGTGGCAACCACCTTTCAGCAGCCCGCAACTTCTCGGCCCCTCGGGTGTAGACGGCAATGGACCAGTCCACGCAGCGGGCAAAGCCTTCCTTTAGGAGCAGCTCGGTGATGTTTCCATTCTGAAACCAAGCCCGGGGGGGGGGAGAGAGAGGAAGAAGAAAAATAAAATGGCTCTGGCTCCAGCAAACCCTAGCTTCTGCCTGGAGACCCACACGGCCCACCAGTCAGTCCGGCCGGGCGGCAAGAGAGCCGGACTCACACCCTCGGACCATTTGGGGCGACCCTGCTAGGCCATGCACAGCCCCTCCACCAAGGTCTGTGCCACGCGTCCCCTTCAGCAACCAGCAGAGCCCCCACCCCACTATGTGGTTTCCCTGGGGGGGGTCGTCTCTCTCCCCCCCCCAAACAGCCTGTGAACGAGGAGGACAGGCTGACGCGAGAGCCCTTCTCCGGCACCCACTCCTCCCTGCCTTCCCCAGCCCCAAACATTGGCAGGCCACACACACTCCAGGGAGTGGAGTCTTATACTCTCTCTTTCTCTCTCTCACTCTCTCCCTGCTTTGCTTTCATTCCAATGGTAGTTAACCAGCCATGCTGCTCAGCAGCTCAGGGAGGCCTCCTCAAGCTGCCCCCCAAGACACACACATGCACACACACCCTTCTCCCTCCCTCCCTCCCTCGTCACCCACCCCCAGCCCCCACCCCACTTGCCGGGTGGAGGATGGTGCCCAGGATGTTCTGGTTGTGACAGCTCTCCAGGACGATCTGGACATCCCTCTGCAGGAGCCGGGACTCCGTGAAGAACCTGCCTTCGGCAGCAAATGGCTCCGGCGTCTCCGTGCCGTCCGCTTCCCGCTTGAAGGTGGGACACTGGGGCAGAAAGGACCGGGTCAGGCCCCAGGGAGAGCCCTCGCCACCATGGGAGGAGGAGGAGGAGGAGGAGCCGACGCAGAGGCCGCCGGCAGGGTGGGCAGCCTCAGGCCCATCCGAATGCTCCGGCAGGCAAGCCAAAGCCTGGCCACCTGGCCCAGAAACACCCAGGAAGCCACCTGCCCTTCGGTCTCGGGCTCCTCAAGGGTTTGTTTCCTGACCGGCAACCGGAACGAGACTCTCTGCGGGTTCCTGGCCTTGTTTTCATTCCTCCGCGGGCATTGATCCCCGCGTGTGTTTACTGACTCTCTCGAAAGACCATGTAAAGCAGAACAGACTCCCCCCCTTACTATTCATGTAGCCAAAAGAAGAGGAAAACCTTATAAGGTGACTGAAAAAATAAACCCTCTTCAAATGGGTAAGAATAGATAAAAAGGGAAAGTTTGAGATACAGGGCCAGAATCTTAAATGCTGCAACTTTTTGACGATTTGCATATAGTGATAAAAAGAATCATTCTAATAAACAAAAGAAATAAACTGAAGAACTGCCCTAAAAACGTCCAAGGAGGACCAATTCCTTTTGCAGATGAATCCCGCGATGAAGACCCTGCCATTTTATAAAGGGACATGAAAGCTGCAGTCAAATCCATTAGCTCAAACCATTCTCAACCTTCCTTTGGCCATAGCCATAAACCCAATAAATAAGAAACATATAGGCTGAATCAGGATGGTATAAGTCACATAACAAACCTTATAAAAGATGGAGACTTTTTCCAGTCTCTGCCCCCCCATCAAATGTGCCAGTGCCCCTCCAAAGAGAACAGTTGAATTAGAAGAAATATATCAGAAGTAGATAGGATACCAAGAGAACTATTTCAAGTCACAGAGACTGATTCCGTCAAAATCCTAACAAGAATACACCAACAAAACATGAGAAACAAAACAATGGCCCACAGACAGGAAATGCTCAATACACTGTACGTTCCAGTTCCCAAGAAAGGAGATGTCAAGGAGCACGGTAACTATAGGACCACCGCAAGCAATTTTTTTTTTTTGGCCATATGTGGAGGAAGGAATTCAAGATGTTCAACCTAACAAGAAGCCCAGAGATGGTGTTGCACATTTATGATGGCTCCTGGGGCATAACAAAGAATTCCAGCAGAAACTGGCTCTGTGCTTTACAGATTCCAGCAAAGCCTTTGACTATATAGGTCATGAAAAGCGATGGACTGCTCTAAAAGAAAGGGTTGCACAACAGGATTGTATGCTACACTACTCTGACATGAGAATACAGGAAACGGACAGGTTCCCCACTCGCAAAGGGGTCGGGCAAGGGAACTTCCACCCATGGACGGACCATCTAAAGAATAATATCTAGAGCAGATGCACCTTGAATTCTCATTGGAAGCTGCAACAGCTGAACTGAGGCCATCACACTTTGGGCACAGGGTAAGACAAGAAGTGGTGGAAAAGATGATCCCACCAGGGAAAGTGGAAGGCAGTGAGGAAAGAGGAAGACCCACCACGAGGAGGACAGAAAGCCAGAACCTTTGACCCGAGGAGGGACTCTTGGAGGCCACCAACTTGCTGGGTTGGTGGCCCTTCTTTCTGAGGCCCCTTGGCAGCACTCAAGAGCAGCCCTCTCGTGGCCCACTAGCAGACTCCAGGGTTGGGGATCACAGCCCCAGCCCACCCTGAACCCCGGAGGCTGCCCGCCCGCTCGCTCCCTCCCTCACCAGGGGCAGCTAAGCCAAGGCCGGCCAGCGCCCCACCCAACATCCTGTTGGCTCCGGTTGGCCCAAACGGCTGGAAGACCTGCACGACGCACGGCTCGCTCGTATCCTCTAAGAAGTGGAGGAATTCAGCCGAACTGAGATTCCCAGCTCAGTGGCGCACTCTGAGAAAGAATCCCTGGTAGGCCACCAAGTGGGAGGGAAGGAGGGAGGGAAGCGCCCAAATGTTCTCCTCCTGTCTGCATGCAGGATGGGGCAAAGAAGGGGAAGCCACGCCAAGCCCACGTCAAGCCAGGGCAGGTGGGAAAACTCACCTTGATGCCCGAGAGCATGACCGTGACCAGGTAGTAGTCAGGGAGGAGAAGAGCACGGACCACGCTGCCATCCCGGACATGTTCAATGATGGCTGCAGGAGAGAAAGCAGGGGCTCAGCTCCCCACCCCCGTCAGGACAGGGCTCTCCGCCCTGCGTCAGCTTGACCCAAGCCACCAGCAGACAGGCCCCAGGCCAACCACCACCGGATCACGCAGCGGTTTCTGTGCAACACTCCCTCCCAAGGCCCCAGGCCCCAGGCCGACCACCACCGGATCAGGCAGCGGTTTCTGTGCAACACTCCCTCCCACCAGCCCCAGCCGGCACCCCACCCCTGCCCCACACACACCCCCATGGCTTCCTGGGGTGCCCGAGCAGCCGACTCACCATTCACTGGCTTCTGGTGCAGAGAGTCCACAAAGTGCCGAGGGTTCTCAATGGTGTACTTGATGTCGCGGACGGTGTGCGAGCCGGTCCCCTCGCTCCACAGTCCTTTCTTGGCCACCCGGGCCTGCTCTTCCAACTCTGCCAGTCGGCTCTGCTCTGGGCTGGAAGGGAAAAGGGTCGTAGGTGAGATGCTCGAAGGCAGAAGCCACGGGGCCGATCGGCAGCCTGGGGAGGCTCTTCTCCTCTCTCTCTCTGGGCGGCGGCACCCATCGCCCCCCACTGCCACTGCTGACGCCCTCCGGGCACCTCATGCGGGCCCTTCCTTTCCCTCTCTGTGGGGACCAGACAAGCCATTAATGAATTCCCGAGCCATCGGGGAGCACCTGCTGTGACAACCCCAGACCTACTGGGATATGCCACACTTTAACTAAGCTGCCACCAACCATTCCCTGTAAGGAGTCACACAGACCAGGAATGGATTTTTAACAAACAAAGGAATAAGGTTTATTTAAATAACACACAGGGAAAATAAAATGATCAGGTGAATAAGATACAGTAACGTGGCTTAGTCTCACTCATACATACACACAGTTTGGTTCACACAGAACCCTTAACTTGAAGCACAGACCCTGAACCTATCAGTTCTGGCTAACCAACAGACACCTGAACCTATCAGGTTGGTACTGACTGACACACAGTAGTACCCTGTCTGACACACAGACTCCCACACCAGCTTCTTCTCCTCAGCTTCTCCTTCTCCTAAACTTCTCCACACCAGCTCCACATATATATACAGTACAGCCCCTCCTCCTGATGTCCCGCCTTCCACTCCCCATAGGATGGAACTTTCCCTCCAACCCATGACAGACAGGTAACATCAGTGCTGTATGTAACACCTGCCTCGTAGTGTTCCCACCTCACCCCGCTGCCTTGCTCGCACTCTGGTCTACTACGCAGATTTAATGTACATGAATTCATGCAACTCAACGTGGACAATTAGTTATTTGAAACATTTACATCGTGCTGTAGCGTTCACCTTGCTCATTAATATTTATGTGGAGATTTTCAGGCACCCGTAGGAGTTGGTGAGGGGTGGGGTGGGGTGAAGAAAAAGAGGGAAACAAAAGGGGATGTGGGCGGTGGAGACTGAAGAGAGAAGGCTGTTTAGTGGAGAGTTAAGGGCATTGACCGGAGTGTTATCACCTGTAACAATAAACAATTTCTACTTGGTTCTTAAATGATATGTTGCCTGGACCTCTGACATTAATAGTGAATAAAGCTGATGTAATCAAGTGGTGGTCATGGAGAGGGGGGATTTGCTGGTTGGGTACGTAATCAAGTGGTGGACATGGAGAGGGGGGATTTGCTGGTTGGGTAACAGCCTATCCTCCACTCCAGCTTCGCGTACAGCGTCAAAACACTAGACGCTGTTCCACGTCCTCCATACAGAGCACGTTACCATAGTCTCTCGAGACTGAAAGATGCCTATGAATCAACTGGTGGCAGCTGAATGACACGTCACTTGTGCCTTTGCTTGGTGAAACCACCAAGGGACAGGCAGGAACATGACGCCCACCTCCTGCTAAAAGGGGGCAAGGCAGCCTACAGTATGAAAAGAAATAAAGTTAAAGGCTAAAATAATTGATTAATTATTTAAAAAAGCATTAAAGAGGTATCCTACTGAAACTTATAAATAAGAGCAATATTAAAAGCTCAAGTAAAACAACAGAATAAAATAAACCCTTTTGTAAAAATCCCCTTGGCCCGCCTGTCACTAAAAGGAAAGTTTGCCTAAAGAGAAAGGTCTTTGTTCAGGGAAGGATTGCAAAGATGGGAGTCAGTCTGGCCTCCAGTGGGAGGGAGTTCCAGAGACGGCCCTCCTCCATGTCCCCACAGAACACATCTGTGAGGGTGGTGGGACTGAGAGAAAGGCCTCTCCTCATGATCTTAGCACCCAGGCATGCTCATAAAGGGAAACGTGGTCCTTGAGATAGCTTGGACCCTAAAGCCGTTTAATGTTTTACAAGTTAGGGCCAATCATTTCGAAGTGTGCCCAGAAACAGAGAGGCAGCCAGTGAAACGGCTGTAACAGCGGGCGTTCTGCGGTCCCCGTGACCAGTGTCCCAGTCAGCCACCCGGCTGTTGCGTTTCAGACCTGCTGAAGTTTTCTGACACTTTCCAGAAACAGCCACACATAGAGTGCGTTGCCGTAATCCAGCCGAGAGGCCACGGCGAGGGGGGGGGGGGCCACCCTGGCCAGACCAGACCTCTCCACATCAGCATTCTCTCAGTAACTAACGAACTGAGTGTTGTTTTTAGATGGATTGTTATGCATGACTACTCTGACTAGATTTTTAGTCTTAGTTGTGCTTTTCATTTCTGCCTCTTGTTTATTTTTATTATTGCTAATATCGCTTTTAGCTAATATCATCTTTTAATAATCGCTTTCATCTTTAATACTGTCTTTCAAGGGTGTAAGCCACCTTGGGTCCTTTTTAAGGAGCTAGGAGGGGTAAAAATATTTTAGACAAAATAATACATCAAATAATAAATATTACATGAGCTACCTAAACCCGAAACAGAAAGCAAAGATGGCCGCCTCACCACCAGAAGGGCCAAGAGGCATGTAAGAGCAGTGGGAGCTGACAGCGAAGCAGGATAGGGCCCCAGGAAGGAAAAATAAGGGAGCCCCCATGTCTCACCAGCTCCAGGACCCCTGCCTCTGTCGGCCATCTCCATAAGACCACCTTCCAGCCTTTAGAATCACAGAACCCTAGGACGGTGGAGTTGGAAAGGGGCCCTACAAGGCCATCCAGTCCAACCCCGTCCTCGAGGCAGGAATCCAAACCAAAAGTTACCTGCCAGGTGGTTTTCTAAATTTCTCTTGCAGGCCTCCAGTGCTGGAGCCCTCACCACCTCCCCCTGAGGTTATGGGCTCCATTGTTGTCCTGCTCAAAGCAACAGACCCTCTCTCACACGCGACCTCTACCCTGTGTGTGTGCGTGCATGCGTGACTCTGCCCCCTCCCCCACACGCAGGGCTCCATCATGACCGGAACCAAAGGGGTCGAAGATTATCGCTGCGCAGAAAACCAAAAAACCTGCATGGAGGGAGCCAGACTCGCACGCACGGCCTGGAGGAAACCTTGACTCAAAGAGTTAAAGAGTTTTTTTTTCTCATAATCAACCAAAATCTGGTTTCCTATACCTTGAGGCCATTATTAGATGTCCTGCACGCTAGGAGGATCAAGAACAGATCCTGCTCCTCCTGTGTCAGACAGTCCTTTTGAAGGATGCCTTCCTATCGCTCCTCAGTCTTCTTTTCTAAAGGCTAAACAGGCCCTACTTTAGCATTCCGATCCCCTATAATGACAAGAACATCTTTCTTTGATGTCAGTTCTAGAAAGTGTTGTAAGTCTTCATAGAATTGGTCAATTTCATCCTCTTCCGCTGAAGAGGGAGATAAAAGGAAACAACAGATAAGTTTGGCCTTGGAGTTCAAAATGAAACAGGGCAAAAGCTAATAGAGTTTTGTCAAGAGAACAAGCTGGTCATCACAAACCCTCTTTTCCAACAACACAAGAGGTGACTCTACACATGGGAATCACCAGATGGGCAATACCGTAATCAGATTGATTATGTTCTCTGCAGCCAAAGATGGAGAAGTTCTATACAGTCAGCAAAAACAAGAGCTGGAGCTGATTGTGACTCTGATCACCAACTTCTTATAGCAAAACTCAAGCTTAACTGGTCATCACAAACCCTCTTTTCCAACAACACAAGAGGTGACTCTACACATGGGAATCACCAGATGGGCAATACCGTAATCAGATTGATTATGTTCTCTGCAGCCAAAGATGGAGAAGTTCTATACAGTCAGCAAAAACAAGAGCTGGAGCTGATTGTGACTCTGATCACCAACTTCTTATAGCAAAACTCAAGCTTAAACTGAAGAAAGTATATACTGGTACCACAAAATGAAGCATCCACACCAGAATCAAAGAACATGAGAGACACTGCAGACTAAAACAACCGGAAAAATCAGCAGTGGCTGAACATGCCCTAAAACAAGCTGGACATGAAATTCTGTTTCAAATTACTGAAATACTGGATAACACCAGCAATCATTACGTTAGACTGCACAGGGAAACCACTGAAATCCACAAACACCAGGAGATTCAAAGTGCTACTCCTGTCCTCTGAAGATGCCGTCCACAGAGACTGGCGAAAAGTTAGGAAGAACAACCTTCAAAACATGGCCAAAGAGCCCGAAAAACCCACAACAACCAGAAGCAGAAGACATCAAGAACAGGAGGCAACAATACATTGAGAAATTATACCAGAAAGATTTGTATATCCTGGACAACCCAGATAGTGTGGTTGCTGACCTTGAGCCAGACATCCTGGAGAGTGAAGTCAAGTGGGCCTTAGAAAGCATGGCTAACAACAAGGCTAGTGGAGGTGACGGCATTCCAGTGGAAATAAAAGATGAGGCTGTTAAGGTGCTACACTCAATATGCCAGCAAGCTTGGAAAACTCAGCAGTGGTCAGAGGACTGGAAAAGATATGACCAGATAGACGGGGTATAAATGTAATAAATAGATACATAAAAGAAGATCAGTCTACATCCCAATCCCAAAGAAGGGCAGTGCCAAAGAATGCTCCAACTACCATACAATTGCACTAGCAAGGTTATGCTCAAAATCCTCCAAGGCAGGCTTCAGCAGTATGTGGACGAAGAACTCCCAGAAGTACAAGCTGGATTTCGAAGGGGCAGAGGAACTAGGGACCAAATTCCTAACATGCGCTGGATTGTGGAGAAAGCCAGAGAGCTCCAGAAAGTGTGAAGTCAAGAGGAGAAGGGGACATCAGAGGACGAGATGGTTGGACAGGGTCATCGAAGGGAACAATGTGAATTTGCCCCAACTCTGGGAGAGCCTGGCGTGCTCTGGTCCATGGGGTCACGAAGAGTCGGACACGACTTAACGACTAAACAACAGCAACAACAAACAGGCCCAGTGCTTTCCACCCCTTCCAAGGCCTTCGATGCCACCCAATGTTCCGGAGCCGACATGGAGAGGGGGGCAGTCCAGCCCAAAGGGGGGGGGGCTGCCTTTGCCTCTGATCCCCTCTGCTGAGCACCAGGCTCAGGATGGCCAACCAGGAGGGAAGTGACCCATGAAAGCTAAATTCACCCGGAATGCCGCCTGCCCCAAAGGTCCCTGCAGCGCCCCTCCCACATACAGCCACCTGAGCCTCCTGCCTGTCCCAAGACTTGTTCTATATAATGGGCCCGGCACCGTGCCTCTAGAAGAGCCCCAAGAGTTGGCAGAGGGCAGAACAGAGGCTGTTCCAGGGGACACGGGAAACTGACACTCCCTGGGACCCACCTTCTCGCCTCCGCACAGGGATGAGCCCAAGAGGGGGGAGAACCATCAGACAGGCGGAGCAAGCAAATGGGTCTGGCCTTATGGAGGTGGAGTGCAGGAAGTGAGGGGACCCCACAGACTCTGACTCCCTGCCTCAGAAACTCCGGGGGGGGTAGGGGAGGGCAGAGGCCCATCTCTGAACGAACTGCCCCCACTCCCATCATCTGCCACCAAGGGAGACCTGGTGGTCCTGCCAAGAGCTGGCGTCTTCCCATGGGCCTCGGAAGCCGACTTACTTGTTGGCCCGGACGCCCTCCCGACGACTGGCCAGACCTTCTGCCACGAGCGACTCCGCAATGTTCTCTCCGGTTGTGTCTGGCAAGAAAGAGAGGCTGTATTAACGCAGAGAGGGCCCAAGGGGGGGGGGGTGCCACCGCCCCACACACACACACACTCACACACACCAAGGCAGAAGCCAGGCCCGGCCTGCTCAGGCCAAGCAAGGCCACACGCAGGACAGGTCACTCAGGACCAGCACCCCGGAAGGAAAGCACCTCTCCTCTGGGCAGGAAAGGTGGCTTCTCAGCTCTGGCGAGACCCCCAACCTGAACTGTGCCTCCGGGAGTGGGGGGGGGTTGGCGGCTGCTGAGCTGGCCCTGCCTCTTCTGGGCTCACCGGGGGCATGAAGTGTAACCCCAGCGCCCCTCCCCAAAGCATCTCTGTGCTGATCTCTCCACCCCGACCGGGCCAACGGCTTTGCAGTGTCAAAGGGCCTCACCTGGAGAGGGGACTGGAAGTGCATCAGCGCTGACTCTGACCGGGCTGCAGGAACCCACACCTCCCCAAGGAAGAAGGAGATCCAGCCCAACACACACGGTTCACAAGCAGCCCACTGATGGGGAAGCTGCTGCTCTGGGCAGCTGGGAAAGCTCCAGCCCCAAGTGGGCTCCCAAAGGTCCAGAGGGACCCTAAGGGCACCATGGCCCTCGCATGCTTGGGATGCGGCTGCAGAAAAGACCTCCAGGCATCTCCAAGGAAAGCTCAGAGAGGAGCCACTTGAACGCCACTCCCTCCTGGCGATGGCCTCCCGCTGACGCCATGAGAGAAAGGAAGGAGAGCAGCCAAACCGGCACTCCAACTGGCAGAGCGCCCCCCCGCCTCACCTTTGCCCAGGTACACCATCCCATACTCCCGGCCTTGCGGGGTCTTGTACTCCACGGTGAAGCAAACCTCCTTCCCGATCAGCTTCTTCCGGAGGAATTCACGGGCTGGGAAGCCCCAGGGCTGAAAAAGCAAGCAGTCAAGAAGAGAGGGAGGGAGGCCACAAGTTACACGCAGCCCCCCTTCAACGCCCACCAGCGCCTCCCCTCTTTATTTCTTGCCTCGGGTGAGGCTTGCGCAAGTGTATGAACCTTAAGACCTGGCTGGAGCTCTGCTGAGGGGGGGGGGCAGCCTCCCTTCCAGCTCCTGACGTCCACCTTCTGCGCATCCCAACCCTTGGGCTGCCAAAGCCCTGGCTGCGCATGACACAGCATACCAGCCTGGCTACACTTCTTGGGAGTCTCTGGATTGGTTCTGGTGGCCTTTGGGTCACTTTTGGACTCTGCCTTCTCCCACACCTGATTTACCCGACTCTCCCGTAGGCCTCTGCTCTTTGCCCCTTGGAACTCATCCCCGCCCAGCAAGCCTGGGAGCAGGGCAGAGCATGGCATCTGAATACCTGCTACACGGGAGGGCAACCCAAAGCTACGCCAGGCCCCGTTCGGCCACACCGCACATTGCCTCAGGCCGCGGGCCAGGGATTTTTGGCTGTTTGGGTGGCAGCACCCACCTCATCTGGTGTATCTTTGCCATCGGGCTGCCCTGCTGCTGCCCGGCGTGCGAGGTTCCCAGCCCGGATGTTGCTGAGGTTGATCTGTCTCTCCGGAGGCGGCCCTCCGCGCGGCTGGCCTCGCACGATGATGGCACAGCCCGAAAGAACCTGGGCAGGGAAAGAAGGAAAGAAAGACATCCCAGCTGAGCAGGATTCCCTGGCCCTGGCCCAGCACCCCCTGAGCCCCAGAGGAGCTCACCAGCCACCCCCTCCCTGATTAACCCAGAACCCCATCCCGATGCAACCCTCCACCAGGCCCCTGCACATGGCGGGAGGGGCACACAGGGAACCCCTGCCCGGAAGCCGCCCCCCCCGTGTCCGCCACTTTGTCTCTACCCAGCCGCATGTCGCTCGTTCGGCTGAAGAGGCCTCAACAGCCCCCTCGGTTGCCTGCCTGGCCCCCTTTCCAAGCCACGGATCCCCAGCCCCACCTGCAGTGGGAGCAAATGCTGCCGGACACAGGAGAGTTATTTGACAGGCACGATCTTTGTGCCACACCGTGGCATTCAAGACAGATGATGAAGAAAAGGCAAAACCTTTACCCCAGGAGGAGGCAAGAAGCATGCCCAAGCCCCTCCCTTTGGTGGTCCCTCCCAAATGCTGGGAAGCCGGAGCCCTTACGGCCCCCGCCCTCCACAAAGGCGATCCTTGGGCAGGATGGCTTTGACCAAGGAGCCCACGCAGAAGGCCCGGGTCTGTCTGGCCACAGGAACAGCAGGCCCCAGGAATCCTCACACAGAATCGGCTGCCATCCCCTCCCGTCATGACCTCCCCTTGGTGACCATCCAGGGCTACCCACGGGGAAAGTCACAAGCTGGAAACGACCTCGAGGGCATCTTGCTCGGCTCCAGCTTCCAAAGGGCATAAAGCCCGGCTGAGGCCCCTTTCCCTTTGGCTGCAACATGAGACAGGAAGGAGAGCAGACAACGCAAGGCTCACCACCCGACCAGCACCACCCCAACCTTATGCTGGGCAGGCGCACGACAACGCGCCCCGTGGGGCACTCCAGGTTCAGACCTATAGGACGGCAGCCAGCTTCCGCGCCAGCTCTGCAACATGTCAACTCAGGGAAGGGAGAGAGCCCGCCAAGATGCACAAAATCCACTTGTGCTCTTCTGCAAGCCACCAAGGGTGGGATGGGGGGGGTGGTAGCTTTCCTGGCAGCCTGAGGCAAGAGAGGCATCATCCAATTTTGGAACTCTTTGCCTCTGCCTCACCTTTTAGACCACCTTCACTTGCAGAAATAAATAATCTGGAGAGCCTGAAAACTTGTCTTCTTATCAAGGTTTTCAGTGACCCCCTAAAATTACTGGCCAGCCCGAGTGCTTTGGCAGAGAAAGGTGCACAAAGGTGCTTGGAGCCTTCCTCCGTCTTCGTACGGAGAGGCCAACGGCACCAACTCAGTCTGCAACTCCATGGCCGCTAAAGAGAGAGAGACCCTCCACAGCCTGTGTTTGCCCTCGGGTTACACTTGACAAAATCTGCAGTTAATTATCCAGTGCAGGAACCTGTAAGAACGGCAAGCTTGACTTCTCCCTCTTGGCTCTTCTGCCCACTGCAAAAGGCTCTTCTGTGGCATGACAGGGAAACATTAACCTACAAGATAGACCTTTTCCCCCTGGATTGCAAAACTAGCCAAACTTTGCAGAGTTTCTGCTCTCTCCCAGCCCTGATAAGAGGCAGCAGCGGGAACTCCATCCAAGACCCAAACAGGTCCAAGCAACCTGGTTGAGAGCGATTTGCTTCCTGTCTCCTGCCTCCCTGCGGAGCTTGTAGGGGGGGGGGAGAAAGGAAAAAGGAAAAGCCATGAAATGGCAGCAAGACCCCTCAAGCGCTAACCCTCAGGCGCCTTCTGGCAGCCGGAGCTTCCCTCCAGAGGGCAACAGGTGGGCGAGGGTGGCAACGGTCCCGCGCAGGACCCCCCCCTCCCTTGACACTTGGAGAGCCCCCGCGAAGCAAAGCCAAGTGTTTGCCAGGGTGGGGGCGGGGGCAGCCAAGTACCCTGCAGAGATCTTGGGGTGGGGAATCTCATCCCTCATCCTTAAGGCAGGACGATCCC